TATAAAATTATTAGAGTTGTTAGGTAAAACGTTGCTTTATACTGATTTCGTATTCATCGGGCTTGGTGTTGGTTGATTGAGTTAACTCATCCTATATTTGATTATTGCATAATTATTATGATATAGTTTGTGAAGCCAAGCAATTATTGCCTCATCGTTCATGCATGCATAATTAGGATTTGATTGCTTTTGTCATATAATATATAAGATATGGAGATGCATGTCTTACTTTGATCTGTTCAGCAACTGTCGATTGCAACTGATGTGTGTTAAGATCACCGAAAGCATTTGTGAATGTAAAATAAAGCAGATTAAAAACTAGATGACCGATATAGATGAATAGACTTTTGAAAACCGATTTGCTTATAAGTTGCACAGATTATTCTGTTATCAAATATGCAGTGTTATCGATGGTTAAAAAAAGTCTTGTAGCTTTACTTTTCCATTCTCTATCATCGTTAATAAATGTTGATTTATTCTCTCCTCATAATTTTGAGAAAGGAGAACACTACCACCAGTTTGATTTACCAACTTGATCGTCCACCACTTGATTTAAGGTACGCAAATTAATATTATTCGGTTTAGTTTTAGTTCCAATATTTAACCATAAAGTATTCACAAGTTATTTAGAGCGATTAAAAAAGACATGATCACTAGAATGTGATATCACTAAAAGCTCATTGCTTAAAGTTCCTTTCAAGAACTTGGATTACCACTAGAAGTGAGAAGATAAAGAAGGTAATATGCAAAAGATATATCCCTCATATGGCGACAAAATAAGCTAGTGTGAGTACAATATGAGGTAGTACAAAGAATATTAAAAGTTCTAGAAGACCATATATATTTGCCCATAGAAATACTATAAGAATTAAAGAATCATTTTGTTGTTCTAGAGTGTTCTCCTTAGCATGGAGATGCAGAGAATTACAAGGTATAACTAGGTACATGACATCACATACTAGAGCACAATGTTTGATTATACACAATTTTCTTGATTTTCAAGGAATTTTAATAAGATGGTAGATATAATAGCAAAAAGAGCCTATTTGATCCAAGTATTCCTTTTATTAGTCTTTTTATTTTTTGTATTAACCTTAGTCTTCAGTTTTATGTTCTTATTTATCTTGTACAGTTCTTGAATAAGGATTACAATCACTATGAAGCTAATGGAATTTGCAGAAGTAAAAAAAAGAAAAAAATACATGTAGTGTAAGAGCTAAATATTTTTCAAATTTAAATTGATCTCATATTGTTTTTATAATACAGACCACCAGCAATTTATTTTATGGTTTGTAGAACCATCCACCTATATTAGATTTGATTCAACACAAACGTTAACTCTAACTCGCTTTAATCAATTTATGCGTGGAACAAAACAAACACTACAATTAAAAAAATAGATATACTATTCACACATAGAAAATAATTATCTTCTTCCGAGGTGTATCATAATTGGATGTAAGAAGACTATTTTTAAATTGACAATTTCTGGAACTATACAAAAAATGAGGCACACCAAATAAGCGTTATACATAATTATCGTTTATCATATTATGCTAGACATACATAGAAGCTTACACTATTATTAGGATGGAATATGATTGGAAGTTTAAACCAGGTATACAATATAGCAAATCTTTGTGTCTTATATATATAATGATGGTGGTAAGAGTGAAAAAGAGTGGTGGAGGTAAGAGTGATGAAGAAAAATATGGTAGAACATTGTAAGTTAGATATATATGAAAGTATAAAATAATATTAGATTTGAATAAAAAGAAATCAAACATTAATCTAAAACCTAACATGTGGGCATCCGGAAGACTCTCTTTTATTATGATATTGTCTGTTTCAATTCAAGTGCTCAAGATCGCACAGAATCATATGATACCCAAGCTCTCCGTTTGTGATCCATCCCAAAAGGCTTATTACTCAGTATATCATTGGACTTAACTTATATATATTAAACCATTACTATCTAGATTTCTGATGTAAAACTTGGATTGATATCCTAACATTGCGCAAAACAACAAAAAAACAGGAGCCATCATGTTTTCAAGTCATAAATAATGATCAAATACCAAAAAATCAAGAAAAGTGGATTTTTTGAAATATGACTGCTCTCAAGATCAACGGCTCCACTAGTTAGAGGCCTTTCCTCTGATGAATTGGGATGATAATTGATGTTGAGATATATATATATATATATATATATATATATTTGATATAATATATATATATATATATTCAGTTAGCATTCATATGAAATTTGTTTGGAGTCATTTGGAGATGTTCTTAGGAATATGATCCCAAACTACTGAAAACATGTCTGTATGGCTTGTAAATGAAGCAAGCACTGAACAATATTTGCCACCAGCCAATAATGCATTGGACCAGAGCTTCTACATCCATCAGATACACCACCATTGTTTAAGTGCATCAACCCGAGTTCTTAGTCGAGATCAAACATCTTTGAATGCAAATTCCTTTTTTTAACTCAAGTTGACCTTAAAGCTATTGATACCTACTTAGCTACTTCCTAGAAATGAACACAGCCCTAATTTATAACAACCACAATTACACTTTCATAATATTTTGTTAATTCAAGAGCTTCTCGGGAGAAAATCTTTTGTAAGTCTAATGAACTTTACCATTACTTGCTCAGTTTAATGCATGGTTTCATTCTACAATAACCAAATTAGCAAAGTTTATTTGTTGCAAAACATAGTGGTCGAAGCCACAAAAGTGGAAAGACTATAAATTCATGTTTTGTATTCAAGATGGTTTTTACTTAAATCCCTAACATATCATCTATCTCTGGAGAAAATCTTGCTGTTGTATCTCCATAGAAAATTTTGAACCGTCTTATTTCTTATTTATTTATTTATTTAGTTTTTTTTTTTTTTTTGATAACTCAGGTATTCCGGCTGATTTAAGGGACCGCCGGCGGCGCAGTTAGGGATTGCAAATCCTGACTGTAGAGCAGCGCATCATCCCCCCAACACCGACTAATCCTGGGGCCCGGAGAGACCATGTAAATACCCCGGTGGCCAAGTGGATTAAATGTTGCAATTCTGCTTCCATGGGGAGTTGATCCCTGGCCTGGACCAACAAGGCAACTCTCACCAAGGAAGGGAACCACCCCACTACCACCACTTGATTCTTATTTCTTATTTAAGCTTTAGCTAGTGTCCAAAAGAATATCCACTTCACTTAGAGGTTTTCGAAACCTCATACAACTGCCGGATTAAATAGTATGTGGATCAGGCGGATTCACCTACTTTGGCTATCTGGGTCTTTTTATTAAAAGGTGTTTGTCCTTATTGATTTACTTGATGTGAGAAACATATATGACATGCAGACGATACAGTGAACTATTCAAAAGTTATCAAAGCATTCTTAGCTGCCTATCAAACATTATTCATACATCTGTAACATAACTATTCAATACTCTAGGTGAAGCATTATCTAGTTTAGTGATTTAAGTTCGAGAAAGAAACTTAACCATCTGCCTGCCTGATTATCTGATATGCAATTTATGTTTTGTTAAAACTAACCCAAGGCTTACCATTACCATCCATCAAGCTTACATTGTTTGCTTAACTTTTAAGTTTTTAATTAATTTATAAATCCAAGAGCTTTCATCTGTCTTTGCTTTTTTTTACTTTTTGCATTCTTGTTGTGTATCACTTCTATACTATTAAAAGGGAAGAACTTTTAATCTTTGTTGCTAAACACTCATATTTTATTTTAAAAAAAATTGTTTATCTTACTCAATCAACCTAAAGTTTCAAATATTCAAAATTAGTTTATAATTATATTATACAGAATATGCTGGAGAATGTTAGACTTATGTTTTTTTTAAAATTGCTGTCCTATGTGTATTACTTTTTTACAACATGCAAGATATCTATACCATTTAAGAAGATACAAACTTTATATTTGTGTGTCTAAAAGAAACAAATCTATACAATTAAAAGGGAGTTATTTTAGTCTTTCTTGCCATAAACTCTCTATTTTCTTTAAAAAATAACAATTATTTGGAAAAAAATATTACAGTGACCCAGATTGAGGTAGTATTAATTGAAAAAGAGAATTTTATTTTATATTAAAAACTTATATGTAAAATAAATATATCTAAAATAGAGAAATATCATACGAATATGGATGGAGTTCTGGTAGGGAACAAATACAATTGGAAAAGAATAAAAAAATAAAAGGAAAACAAAATAAAATCACATGTGGCTTTAATTTTTTTTTGTAGGTGAGATGTTTCTGTCTTCCATGGGATATATATATATATCTAGAAGCTCCTGATTATCATATATATATTATGAGAGAAGTTCTGTGAGTTTTATCATCATGCCTTTATAAAATCATACAACATTTCTTTTCAATTTCAGTATATCACTCTTCCAATTACAAATTTTGGGGAAATGATAATCAGAAACTTCCAAGATATTTTGTTAGCTTTATTACTTGATTTTTCATTTTCATTATTTCCTGATCTTGCCTACAATAATTGATTAAAAAAAAATTCCAATCTAAAAAAATTGGGAACTCGATCTATTCCCCCTGAGTACTTTCGTATCATAATACAACCCCCTCAAGTTTGAGGTTCGTTCTAAATCCCCATCAAATGAAACTTCCAATTCTATTTCCCCACAATAAACAACTTTAAATTTTGTTTCCCCATTATACTAAAGTTCAAAAGTTATTTCCCCCTTGACCAAGATTTGACTTGGTTTACTGTATACCGATTAAAACTTAACCACAAAGAAAAAAAACATTAACCAAACAGAACCTGATTTAACATTCTTAACCTGATTTACCCGATTTAAACCTGATTATAAATGGATACTACCCAGAAAAACACTAAACCCACCCAAAACAATAAACCCACCCGAAAGAATAATCACATCTGAAATAATAAACCCCCAAATCGATTTTGAACCTCACGAACCCTAAAAATTAGAAACCAGAAATCAAGTGTAGTAAATCGAAATCAAGTGTAGTGGAGTGAGGTGGAGAAAAACCGAGAATGGAGATAGCTGAGTGGAACGAGGTACCTGAATTTCGCGAGGAATTTCGTGAAGCGGATTCCGACGGAGAAGATCGACGTGAACGAAACGATTTTAACATCGAGAGAGCTGTAATGGATTTCGTTGATGAAGATCCTGTTCGTCACAACATCTATCCTGAGACAGATGATGAAGACGACAAAGTGCAACAGACAATTATAATTCAAAGGAGGCGCACAGGGTTGGAAAGAGGTGATGGGAACTTGTATGAAGGTCAAATTTTCTTCAGTGGAATAGCGTTTAAGGAAGCCGTCCTTGACTACGCTCTGAAAACAGGCCGAAACATCTCTCAGAAAAGGTGGGATAAAGACAAACTCACCTTCAAATGTGAAGGAAAAAATGAAGAAGAAACTTGTGATTGGAGGATTTACTGTTCCACGACAGGGAAGACTTTGAAGTGGCAAGTGAAAGTTTTCAATAGTGTGCATAGCTGTGTTCCAAATGGACGTGTTGAGATGGTAAAAGTTTCTGTGATTGCTCGTCTATTCGTTGATAAGATTAGAGAGGAGCCTGAATATTTTATGCCTATGAAAATCGAAGAGTTAGTGTTGGAGAAATGGAATATCAGTGTGTCAAGGTCTCAGTGTCAAGCTGCTAGAAACAAAGCGATTAGATGGATTCAGAGAGAGTATGATGAGCAATTTGCACGTCTTCGGGATTACGGTCGTGAGATTCTAGACTCCAACAAAGGATCCACTGTGGTGATTGAATGTCTGCAAAACGAAAAAGGTTTAGATGTATTCAACAGGTTTTATGTATGTTTTGATGTGCTTAGGAAAACCTGGAAAAAGACTTGTAGGCCGCTTATAGGACTTGATGGATGCCACTTAAGATCGAGGAAAAAAGGTCAGATATTGGTTGCTATGGGTCGAGATACGGATAATGCTATTTATCCAATAGCATGGGCGGTGGTGCAATCTGAAACCAAAGACAATTGGTTGTGGTTTGTGAAGAATATCAAAGCCGATTTGGATTTAGGAGATGGCGATGGATATATAATGGTCTCAGATAGGCATAGGGTAAATGTGTTTGATTTTGGTGATGGTGTTTACACTTATTTCTAGTCACTATTAATCGTCGGTTGTGTTTGATCTGGTTTTTTTTTTCAGGGACTAATAGCAGCTGTTCAACTAGAGCTTCCACTTATCGAGCATAGGAATTGTGTGAGGCACATCTATGCTAACTTGAGAGCATTGAATGGAAAAAGGCCAGAGATGAAGAAGCTGATTTGGCGTCTTGCATGGAGCTACAACAAAGCAGAATTTGAAGAGAATAAAGATAAGATTTCCTGCTATGACTCAGTGGTGTTTGTGAGTGTGATGAAGACTAAACCAGAAACTTGGTGTAGAGCCTTCTACAAGTTAGGCCACTACTGTGAAGATGTGGAAAATAACTCGACGGAGTCATGGAATGCTTCTATCGTAAAAGCCAGAGACAAACCATTTGTGCCGATGCTAGAGACAATTGCAAGGTTAGCGATGGTTCGTATTGCCAAAAGAGGTTTTATATCTTTGAACTGGAAAAGTAAGTGCACACCGTATGTTATTGACTACCTAGCAGAAGAGTATGAGACAGCTAAAGATTGTACGGTTAATATATCTACAAATTACACATATGATGTTAGAGCTAGTGGATGTTCTTACCGTGTGCGCATGCAAGATAGAACTTGTACTTGCAGGAGATGGGAGATCACAGGCATTCCTTGTGAGCATGCCTACGCTGTGATTATCAAGAAGAACCTTGACGCTGAGGATTTTGTGTGCCACTGGTTTATGACCGCAATGTGGAGGAAGACATATACTGATGGGATAGTTCCATTGAGGGGAGCAAGGTTTTGGCCTGTAGGAGAAGAACCATCGGTGCATATGCCTCCGTCGCCACTACATCCTGGTCGAAAGAAAGGAGAAACATATAGAGTTAGTAAGAAGGAGAAACAAAGGAAAAAAGGGAAAAATGAATCTCCTGTGAAGAAGGCACCAGTACTTTTAAAGAGGGTAATGCATTGTAAAATCTGTGGTTTAGCTAATCACAACTCAAGATTTCATAAGAAGAAAGGCAAACAGGTTTGTCTCTTGATTTTTATGCATAATGAGAATAGATGATAGCTTTATATAGATAACGTATCTGTTTGCATTTTTGGCTCATCTTGCTTCATATATATCTGTTTAAGGTGATTGGTTTTGTGTTTATAACTAAGTTCTGGTTTTGTGGTTGTAATAGGGTGCTGTAGGTGAATCTTCTCAGGCTGAACCTTCTCAAGGCGCTCTCACACAGCTTGTGGACTGATCTGTTTTATGAGCTTATCAACGCATTTCTCAGATGGATGTTTTTTGGGTTTAAGAAGCTATTTGCTTTGTTGGTTTTTGTCTATGTGAAAGCTTCTTAAAGACAGTTGGATTTTTTTTATGTCTTTTGAATGATTCTAATGTTATTGATTAGACAAACCAGATTTTATTTAAAAACAACGTGCAACAAACAACACTGATGTCTTGTGGGATTTTTTTGAATGATCCCATAACATAAATGACACAACGACACAGCAACACAACGACACAGCAACACAACAAACTCAACCGACTAGTTTACTGCAACAAACAATGACCAGACACCCAAAACAAACAACAGCCATCATTTTCTTCAAGTTCGATTTGGTTTCAAGAAGTGCTTCTTCCACTTTCTCAAATATCTCTTGCTCTAGTTTCATTTGCATCTTCTCAAACATCATCTTCTCAAGCTCCATTCGTTCTCTGCATATTTGCTTTAACTCATCTTCAAGTCTTCCTGCTCGAGAACCCAATGCCTCTATCTCATTTAGCAAAGCCTCGTCCACCCACTTGAAATCGTGCTTATCATTTGTAAGCTACAACCATTCCAACATTCATAGCAATGGGATTTAAGAAAGAGAAAACCAACTTAAATTTGAAAACCAAAAACGAAATACATTGCATTTACCTTCTGTGCGACAGCATAAGCACACCGATAATATCTCCGGTACGGATTCGCATCGGATTTGGAGATCTTTGCCACAATTTGATCGCCACACCAACATCTCCTCGGTACGCCGATACCTCTTCCTCGAGTTCCAGAATATGATGTTCCACTGGAAGCTCCGGATTCATGGCTCATCTTCTTCAACGATGAATAGGGATGTATCGCAGGTCTAGTTGGTACGAAAAATAAGATTTTAGGGTTCTTATGCTTTCAAAATCGATTTGGGGGTTTTAGGTGTTCATCGGGATATATGGCGGGTCTTTTAGCTGGGTTTAGAGTCGGGTCGTGTAACCAAAGCGGTTTCATTTCGGCGGTTAAGAATTATGGTTTACGATTGAAGTTACAAACCGAGTGAAACCGATAGCAAATAAAAAAACCACGTCTGTGGGGAAATAGAATTGGAAGTTTCATTTGATGGGGATTTAGAACGAGCCTCAAACTTGAGGGGGTTGTATTATTATACGAAAGTATTTAGGGGGGAATAGATCGAGTTTCCAAAAAAATTTATTGTAGTCAAAAACAGAAAATGCAGAAAAAGATAATGGAAGTGGAGAGTCAAGTAATAGGGATAATGAAATATACTATAAATCTATGCATCTTTAAGAGTAAGTATGCTTTATTTTTATAATTCTTACATTATAAGCGTTATACATAATTATCGTTTACCAAGTATATAAAAATTTTAATAAAACTTTAGTTATAAAACTATATTTATATCATATTTAATTAAATTTGAGAAATTGCATTGTAGGACAATTAAAAGATTTATATAATTGATCAAAAAGTCTTCATATTTTAAAAAACTTATATTATAAAATATATCAAGTTTTATGAATCATAACTAAATGATATACAAATATTTTGGCACAGAGTTGACAAATTCTTCAAGATTTCATATTCAAAAAGTGTTGTTGAGTTTGCCACAATATCATTTCCTTTGTTACTCTATCGAGCCGACTTGGTCGTCACTCTTCTACCGTAAGACAAGTGTGTGTTTATTTTTATTTTCCATATAATATTTATGCGTAATTGTTTTTTACGAAAATTTTAGCATACGGTCTAAACACATACCGAATTTTTTAATTTTTTATTATCTTAAATGGAGCACTTGTAGAAAATTAATTTTATTTTTATTAAAGACACTTGTGAGGTCTCCAATATTCAGTAACTCCAAAATCCTCCTATGAGTTGTTTCTATAGGTTCACGATAATTAATACAAATTGAATTTAAATTCAAATAGAAGGATGTTTAACTTGAAAATCTAGATATAAAAATATAATTCTGGTTATTTTGTGAAACCTATTATCCCACTAATATTTCTGATCCAAGAATTTAATTAAAGTATGATGATGTTTTACAAAATATTTAAGATAAAAAAATTCACTTACAACATATTTAACAAGTTGTTCAACCGCATAAATAAAGTGGTTGGAAAGATCGCCACCCTATTTTAAAATTCCCAAAATAAAAATAAAATAAAATTATGAATTAGTTATTATGGTTGTTCATTATAAGACTCATATTATAGTAAGTTTATAATATTTTCATTTTTCTTATATTTTCAAGTTTAGTTTGCTCCCAAGTATTTCTATATTTATACATTATTCATGGAATAGGACATCAATTTCCTCCTTTTTTAGCTCTCTCTTTTATTCGCTACACGTTATCCACATGATAGTCTCTCAATCTATTTATTCTTACTCCAAACATATTCTTACACCAAAAATATAAATATCAAATATTTTTTTTATCTTAAATAGAGCACTTATAGAAAATTACTTTGTTTTTGTTAAAGACACTTGTGAGTTCTACAATATTCATTAACTCCAAAATCCTCATATGAGTTGTTTCTATAGTTTCACGATAATTAATACAAATTAAATTTAAGTTCAAATAGAAGGATGTTTAACTTGTAAATCTAGATATAAAAATTTAATTTGGTTATTTTGTGAAACATATTATCCCACTAATATTTCTAATCCAAGAATTCAAATGAAGTATGATGATATTTTAAAAAATATTTAAGATCAAAAAATTCACTTACAACATATTTAATAAGTCGTTCAACCGCATAAATAAAGTGGTTGGAAAGATCGCCAGCCCATTTTAAAATTCCCAAAATCAAAACAAAATTATGAATTAGTTATTATGGTTGTTCATTATAAGACTCATATTATAGTAAGTTATAATATTTTCATTTTTCTTATTTTTCAAGTTTAATTTGCTCCCCAAGTATTTGTATATTTATACATTATTCGTGGAATAGGACATCAATTTTCTCTTTCTCTTAGCTCTCTCTTTTATTCGCTACACTTTATCCACATGATAGTCTCTCAATCTATTTATTCTTACACCAAATATATAAATATTTAATTTATGTTTATGGATATATTATTCTATGATGATAAATGCCTTTTTTGAAAATGATGGTTATGTTAGGCTATGCCTTCGCGATCATGATTTTATTGTAGATTCGCTTAAATCAATTTTTGGGTGGAACAAAACAAACACTAAAATTGAAAAAAAAATAGATGTACTATTCACACATAGAAAATAATTATCTTCTTCTGAGGTGTATCATAATTGGATGTAGAAAGACTATTTTTAAATTGACAAATCCCTGGTATTTTATTAAACGATTTATGGAATTATACAAAAAATGAGGCACACCAAATGCCTTAAAATCACCATTGAAATATAGTCATATTATGCTAGACATACATAGAAGCTTACACTATTACTAGGATGGAATATGATTGGAAGTTTAAACCAGGTATACAATATAGCAAATCTTTGTGTCTTATATATATAATGATGGTGGTAAGAGTAAAAAAGAGTGGTGGAGGTAAAAGTGATGAAGAAAAATATGGTAGAACATTGTAAGTTAGATATAAATGAAAGTATAAAATAATATTAGATTTGAATAAAAAGAAATCAGACATTAATCTAAAACCTAGCATGTGGGCATCCGGAAGAATCTCTTTTAGTATGATATTGTCTGCTTTCAATTCAAGTGCTCAAGCTCGCACAGAATCATATGATACCCAAACTCTCCGTTTGTGATCCATCCCAAAAGGCTTATTACTCAGTATATCACTGGACTTAACTTATATATTAAACCATTACTATCTAGATTTCTGATGTAAAACTTGGATTGATATCCTAACACAACACCTTAACACCAAACTCAAATCATATGATACCATAACAACATAATATCAGGTTTGAATCATAACATTGCGCAAAACAACAAAAGAACAGGAGTCATCATATTTTCAAGTCATAAATAATGAACAAATACAAAAAAATCAAGAAAAGTGGATTTTTTGAAATATGACTGCTCTCAAGATCAACTGCTCCACTAGTTAGAGGCTTTCCCTCTGATGAATTGGGATGATAATTGATGTTGATATATATTTATTTTTCAGTTAGCATTCATATGATATTGGTTTGGAGTCATTTGGAGATGTTCTTAGGAGTATGATCCCAAACTACTGAAGACATGTCTGTATGGCTTGCAAATGAAGCAAGCACAGAACAATATTAGCCACCAGCCGATAATGCATTGGACCAGAGCTTCGACATCCATCAGATACACCACCATTATTCAAGTGCATCAACCCGAGTTCTTGGTCGATATCAAACACCTTTGAATGCAAATTCTTTTTTTTTTAACCAAAACTAAACCCTAGTTGACCCTAAACCTATAGATACCAACTTAGCTACTTCCCAGAAATGAACACAGCCATAATTTAGCAACCCCAATTATACTTTTTATAATTTGGGTTAGTTCAAGAGCTTCTCAGGAGAAAATCTTTTGTATATCTAATGAACTTTATCATTACTTGCTCGCTTTAATGCATGGTTTCATTCTACAATAACCAACAATAACTTGCTTTTCTATCTCCAAAGAAGATTTTTGAACTGTCTTATTTCTTATTTAAGCTTTACCTAGTGTCCAAAAGAATATTCACTTCACTTAGAGGTTTTTGAAACCTTATACAATTGCCTGATCAAATAGTTTGTGGATCAGGCAGATTCACCCATGCACCTACTTTGGCTATCTGGGTCTATTTATTGAAAGTTGTTTGTTTTTTTTGATTTACTTGATGTGAGAAACATATATGACATGCAGACGATACAGTGAACTATTCAAAAGTTATTACAGGCATTCTTAGCTGCCCATCAAACATTATCCATACATCTGTAACATAACTATTCAATACTATAGGTGGAGCTTTATCTAGTTTAGTGATTTAAGTTCGAGAACTAAACTTAACCATCTGTCTGACTGATTATCTGATTTGCAATTTATGTTTCGTTAAAACTAACCCAAGGCTTACCATTTCCATCCATCAAACTTACATTGTTTGCTTAACTTTTAAGTTTTTAATTAATTTATAAATCCAAGAGCTTTCATCTGTCTTTGCTTTACTTTACTTTTTGCATTCTTGTTGTATATCACTTCTATACTATTAAAAGGGAAGAACTTTTAATCTTTGTTGCCAAACATTCATATATATATATTTTTTTATAAAAATTGTTTATCTTAATCAACCAATCTAAAGTTTCAAATATTCAAAATTAGTTTATAATTATATTATACAGAATATACTGGAGAGTGTTAGACTTATGTTTTTAGAATTGCAGTCCTATGTGTATTAATTTTTTAAATGCAAGATATCTATACCATTTAAAAAGATACAAACTTTATATTTCTGTGTCCAAAAAGAAACAAATCTATACAATTAAAAGAGAGCTATTTTAGTGATTTTTGCCATATACTCTCTATTTTCTTTTTTTAAAAAAACAATCATTTAGAAAAAAATATTACATTGACCCAGATTGATGTAGTATTAATTGAAAAAGAGTATTTTATTTTATACTAAAAACTTATATTTTAAATAAATATATCTAAAATAGACAAATATCATACAAATATCGATGGAGTTCTGGTAGGGAACAAATACAATTGGAAAAGAATCAAAAAATAAAAGAAAAAAAAATAAATCACATGTGGCTTTTATTTTTTTTCTGCAGGTGAGATGTTTTTGTCTTTCATTGGATATATATATATATATATATATATGAGAGAAGTTCAGTGAGTTTTAACATCATGCATTTATAAAATCAGACAACATTTCTTTTCAATTTCAGTATATCACTCTTCCAATTACAAATTTTGGAGAAATGATAATCAGAAACTTCCAAGATATTTTGTTAGCTTTATTACTTGATTCTCCATTTTCCATTATTTACTGGTCTTGCCTACAATAATTGATGAAAAAAAAG